TTCCCTACTCCCAGCTAAGGCCACTCTCCACCTATGCTCTGTTGCTCATCTCAAGGAAAGCTTCGATTTTCCCTTCTCTCTCTTGCATCATCAATTTCTCCTTGCCTGCTTAGTGGATACTACTGACATACACACATGCCCTAGTCAGATTTGAAAGAGTTCCTCCTAGACCCCTCCAGCCAGTGGCTCATTTCAGGAGTCCACTCAAAGCCAAATGTCACAAAAGAATTCTTCACATCCTCCACTTGCTCCCCTCCTATCCTCATCTCCACCCACTCCAGCCTGGCATTTGTCCTCTCCACTCCACCTAAAGTGCTGTTGTGAAGGTTTCCAATGACCTTGACCATCCAGTGATAATGACCCACTGATAGGCATTCCAACCTCAATGGTCATTTTTCTGTTGACATCTTTCTTGACCTCATGGCAGCCTTTTATGCAGTTGGCCACTCCTTTCTCCTTGAGACACTTTCTTCTCTTGGCCTCTGAGACACTGCACATTCCTGGTTTTCCTCCCATCTCCATGGCTGCTTTCAAAGCCTCTCCTGCTGCTCTGCTTGACCTTTAAATAAGGCCATGCCCTGGGACGAGGTCACCAGCCTGCCTCTCTCCCTGAGGCACTCAGCCAGTCCCATGGCTTTCATTCCACCAGGATGACAATGACCTCCTCACCCCATCTCTCTCTTGCATCCCAGATACGTTTACCCCACCAGCTCCTTGGCATCCCCATGTTCATGTCCAGTAGGCAACTCAAACACAATATGTCACAAATGGGACTTGAGCCCCAGCTCTCCCACTCACCACACCCTCCACCCAACCAAGGAAGTTCCTTCTACATCTCAGAAAACAGCACCCCCAGCCAGCCAGATGCTGAAGCCATCCTTACTCCTCTCTGTCCCTGATCAGCCCCATCAGCACGTCCTGTCAGGCTCACCCTCAACTGGCCTCCGTCATCTGTCCCTTCTCTCCATGTTCACTGCCCTGTCTGCCCCAGCCACCATGATATCCCACCTGAACTCCAACAACAGCTACTATGGACAGTTTTACTGTCCACCAAAAGTTAAACATAGAATTACCATCAGACCCAGCAATCCACTACTTAGGTACACACTCAAAAGAATTAAAAACAGGTGCTCAAACAAAAACTTATGCTAAGTAAAATCAGTCAGACAGAGAAAGACAAATGCTATATAATATCACTTATATGTGGAATCTAAACAATACAACAAATCAGTGAATAAAACAAAAAAGCAGACTCACAGATATAGAGAACAAACCAGTGATTACCAGGAAGGGCGAGGGGCAATATAGGGTAGGAAGAAAAAGGGTTATTATGAGATTATATGAAATCATGTGTGTGAAACTTTTGAAAATTGTAAAGTACTATAGAACTTAAAGAATTTTTCATTCAATTAAAAAATTAAAATAAAAATTTTAATTTTTAAATTTTTAAAAACCTGTACATGTATGTTCATAGCACTGTTCACAATAGCCAAAAGGTGGAAACCAGCCCCACTGGTCCTTCTGCCTGGAAGGCTTTGTCCCTGGTCTTTCCATGGCTGGCTCCTGCTCATCCTCCAGGTCTCTGACCCAACCGTGCCTCCTCTGAGACACCTTCCCTGACCCTCAGTCCAGCCGCAACACACCCTCCTGTTTATTCCCTTCACAGACCTATCACTGCTTTAATCACTTGTTTACTTCTTTATTTTCTATCTCCTCTAACTAGAAGGTAGGCATCCTGAGGCAGGGGTTCTCTTCCCTTCTTTTTATGGAACACAGAAGGTGCTGAGCCCCCACAGTCCAAACGCCCCTCCTACAGAAAGTCCTCCAGATTCCTCCACCAGGCTGTGCCCATCTGAAGAGGGTGCACCTACTCCATCTGCCAGCCCCTGTACTGCCTCCTGCTCTGACCAGAGCTATTTCTGGGGGCCCTAGCAGGCCCCAGATTCCTGAGATCCCCACCTTCCACCAGACACTCGGTCTCTGTCAAAGAGCAGAAGAATGAGAGCAGGAAGGGAGGGGGAAAAGAACAAAGCAGGTGATGCCACTTCCATTGGGGTCCTTTGGAAAGCTCACAGTAACTGCAACAACCCGGCCCTGGGCTGAGCACTTTACAAGTGCTGTCTCCTTAAGCCTTACAGGGACTTTCTGATGGGGAAACTGAGGTTTAGGGAAGTAAATAACTCACTCCAGGTCACAAGCTATTGTGTGGAGAAATACAGAGGACTCCAACCCAGAACGCTTGCTTTTGATGTTTTGCAATACTGCCTCAAGAGAGAGATGGGATCCTCAATGTCTGTTGGCTGCAAGTATGAACAATCCTGCCCCACCCACTTTTGATCTATGAAGGTGGTGATGTTTCTCTTCAGCTGTGGGCATTAAGGTGGTGCCATGGGCAGCTAAGTCCCACCAAGCTCGAGAGTATTCTCGACCCAGGGTTCACTGACTGCTGCCCTTGTTAGCAGCTCTCAACTAGGGGGAGAGGCATCCAGGGCTGGCACAGGAGTGACTGGGCCCTGAGATGGCCCTTGGCCCTGCCAAGGGTGGGGATGGGGAGAGGAGGGGTGTGCTTAAAGCTCCTTTTAAGGTAAGCCAGCAACACCTGCTCTCCGTAAACAAACAGTAAGCAGTCTTGGAGGAATGTCAACCCGTTAATGGGCATTTGCTCTGGTGATATTCCCATGGAATACACACGTCTTCTCTCCTGTTCCACACCCAGGCTGACCGCCCAGGTGGACATAACCAAAGTTGTCACACAACTACTCTTCGTGCCAAGGTCAGCGAGGCTCTCACCCTCCCCAGGCCAGGTACCCCAGTGTGCCCATGCTTGCTCAGGCTGCCATCACGTGGGGCACTTCACCTTCTTGATCTTCCAGGGATCTACAGGCTGGGGCTTTGGACTCTCCATTATTTAAATTTTAATATTAATAATACATATGATTATTATTATTACTGTGCAATAATATTATAATATTATTGTAATATATTGCTATAATATATTGTATAAAAAAATACATTGTAATATTGTTATAATATATTGTTATAATGTATAATATAATATCATAATATTATTCATAATAATATTAAACAATAAATCCTTACTAAGCGCCAGACCCTGACACTTGGTGATACCTCTCTCAGGACTCCCCAGGATGCTATGGGCGAAATCATTATTTCCACCTCACAGATGTAGAACCTGAGACGCAGAGAAGGCTAGTGTCTTGCCCAGGGTCACAGAGGCAAGAGTAGGATCTGAAGTTGGACCTATCCCAGGTCTTTCTTCCACCCTACATGTCCTGGACTTTCCTGGTTAACTTTGGAACCAGATGTGCTGGCCTGTTGTCCCCATGAGTCACTGAAATATCCCCAACCCAACAGAGGGGCTCTGACCACCATGGGGTGAGCAATGACGGGGCAGTGATCATTGGGCCAGATGGGGTGACAGGGGACACAGAAGGGGAACATGGAGATGGGGTCTAGGCTCACAGGGCATGCAGACCACCAGCTACACTTACCACCTGAGACAGGGCAAGAGAGCCCAAAGTGGGGGTCCCCGGAGCAGAGAGAGGAAAGAAGAAGGAATTATTGAGCCACGAGCAGCACTGAGATGCACAGATCCCAGACCAGACACAGGCTCACAGCCCGGGGCACCCACCTATCACTTCTCTGTTTGCCTAGTCGGGGCAGGGAGGTGAGGGGTGCATGACGAGAATGCCTCTTGAGGGCAATCTACCAGTTGACCGGAAGGGGCTGCCTGGGGCATGGCACTTCAACAGGGCTGCACACAGGCTTACAGCACAAGGGGCAGGAAGAACATGTGATCTTTTAGCACTGTCTGGCATGGACACGGCTAGGGGCACATGTCTTATTTAGCACATCCTAAATTCCCATGTGCCTCAGCTGTTCTTACTGCCCTGCTTGGGGGCAGGGACCCAGGCAGATCTCAAGTGGATAAAACTAGGGCACAGCCAAGTCTAGAAGCCAAGCTGCTAAAGAAACACTGGCCAGCGAGCAGGAGGTCTCGGGAAGGGGGCTGGAGAAAGGACCGGCCCTTAGACAGCTCGGGATGAATCAGTGAGAGGACACACCCACTCCCTGCCTCCCCAACTCACATGTCCGTGCAGGTCCGTGTTGAGAAGCATCAGGGCACAGGTAAGCGTGTGGATCCCATCTAAATCAGAGACGGTGGCATCCTCAGCGTGAGCACCCAGCTCTTTCCCAACCCCAGGCTCCCACCTGCCTCCTGTCAGAGCCAGCCTGGAGGCCTTGGAGACAAGAAGAGGCCAGCCACCTGCCAACCATACATCAGGGCCCAGGGCCTGCATGATGCTCCGTGTCCCACCCCCATTACAGCATCAGAGTCACTCACTCGCCCCAGGTCAGGACCAACCCCTCCCTCAGAGGTGACCAGACCACCCTGGGCCTGTTCTAGCCCAGATTCCTGCATGCTGTGGCCAAACTCACCTTGAATCTCAGACCCAGGAACGGCTCTGGGTCCCAGGCTATATCCCTTCCATGGCCCGTGTCTCCTCTAATAACCAGCCTAGTCCCCCAGTTCCTGGGACTCAGGTCCAACCACAGGGCAAGTCCTGCACTTAAGAGGACCCCAACCCAGACTTCCACACCAGGACTCCCACCACACCAACAATCAGCATTGTGACAGGGCACCACCAAGAACGAGGACCCAAAGGACTGACTCCAGGACGGAGGACCTTCAGGCACAGAGAGTGACAACGGGCGGGGCAGTTGGGAGGTTCCTTTTCCAGCAGACAGTCCCCATGCCACCTGCCATCGTTCATTCACTGATGCTTCTTGAGCGGGACAGAAGTGGCAGGTGGACCAGAGGTAGGAAGAAGCCAGGGCCCGGGTGGGGGGCAGGGGAGTGGGGAGAGGCATACCTTCCGAAGTGCTGTCGTCAGGGTTGCACTGGCAGTACCGGCGGGAGAAGTGCGTAAGGACCCGCTCACGCTCCTGTGTCTCCCCCATCAGCGGAAAGGCCTTCAGGAAGGTTCTAGAGGGTAATGCAAGGATGCTGAGGGCCTCCAAGAGCCCCTGAGTCAGTCTGAATCCTCACTCGGGGTAGGACCCCCCCACACACACACCACCCAAACCTTCCCAAGGGGGCTGAGGCCCCAGAGCCTCAGCATCTGGGCCCAGGGAGGCACCCTGACCCCCATAATGGCCTCTGGAGTGTGGAGTTTCAGCCCTCATCACCATCCAGGGCCCTTCTGGAAGGACACAGGGGACAGATTGTGAAGAGCAAAGGCAGACGAACACCTCAGTGCCAGCATCTGCTCCACTCCTGGCTCCCTCCTCCATGGTTGGGCCATCCACGCCACTCCTCAGACCGCTCTCCCTCAGCCATTCCCACTCCTCACTTGAGGCGCTACCTGCTGAGCCCCAGGCCCAACCTTGGCCTCCCTCAGACCCCAGGTCTGAGCCTCCTCTGCTGGGCAGCTCTGAGTCCCTCTCAAGGCCAAATTCAAAGGTCACCAGCTCTCAGGAGTCCCTGGCAGAGTATGCCAAAACCAGAGGGGCCGGGAGATGGGGCTGGGGTCCCTCACCTGGGGCATAGGCACACCCCTTCTTGGGAAGGGAAACAGCAAGCTGAGACATTGTGGGCCTCTATCCATCCTGGGTTCATGAGACTAGTTTGTCCCGGATTTTGCCACGGTTCACTTGGCTTCTGTAATGCCCACTTTGCTTTATCCTCTCTCAAGCTACTTCTAAGGTACCCAGGGACCTGTGAGCCCCAGTCTGGCCAATCTTTACCCTTGGAGGCTTCCCAAGGCATCCAAAACTGCAGACCACTCTCTAATTCAATCCCAGTCAATCAACTGCTGTATAAAAACACTCGGTCCGCCATCTAGGCTTCCTCCTTTCCCTGTCTCTCCTGTTCCCCGTTCTCTTCCCTGCATCTGGCCCCTCCCTCTTCTCCTGTACTCCACTAGGACTTTCTAAAACCCACCCCCCATCCCAACCGTAGCCTATCCTACCTGGGAGTCATCCATCCCAGCTCCGGCTCCCCAGCCCAAACACCCCTTCCTCAGGGGGCTTCACCAAGCTCCGGTTAAACTCAGGCTTCCCCCGGGATCAGCCTCATTACTGCCCACCCTCTCCCCTGCATCTTGGAACCACGGGCCTGTCTGCTGTATCCTCTGTGCTTCTCACACCAATCACTCCTCTGCCCCACAGCCCAACTTCAGGCCTCGTCCTCCCCCACCTGACCCTCTTCAGAAGCCTCTGGATCAAAGGCCACCAGGCTGCTGCCAGCACTGCCTCCCAGAATACTGCTTCACACCCAGCACCTTCTGGGGCTCCCCCGGGCCTGCAGAGTCGAGCCTCAATCTATTGGGCTGGATATACAAGGTCCTCCCACCCAGCACTCATGCCTCTGATTGCGAGCCCGACCCACCGAACACCTTCCCCACCTGATCATCCAGTGTGAAAATTCAAACTCAGCTCAGGATAGAGTAGCTTGCAGTCGACCAACACTTCCACCGAGAACAATGAGAAAAGCCAGACAAAATATATCTCTCTTAAGCTATCAGAAAACTGCTGACGCAACAAACACCAATAGGACCAAGATTCTGGAGAGGAGAGAACTGGGGAGAGGTGGGCTGATCTGCAGTTGCTTTCTCCCCGGGGACATTGCCAATCACGGGCACAGGCAAGAGGCAGAACAATTAGTGGCTTCACGGAGCTGGAGAGACAAACTGGGAGACTTGAGGGGCTGTAAACATGTGGCCAGTTCTCCCTGTGAGATATCTACCAAAACCTAAAGATGTAATGGGTAGGGAGGCCTCTCTGAGAAGTAGAGGGATTTGGTTTTTTGACAGTCTCGCCGCAATGAGGAGACAAAATTAGGATTTAGAACCAACCAAAGGGAGAGGCCCCAGTGAACACACCATGCTCTCAGTGGAAAGCCCTGAGGCCTTCACCCTGTGATCGGGGTGAACCCTGAGCCTTACCAAACTTCAGGGCTGCCTCTCCTCAGCTCAGCCCTGGATGGATTAGGACTGCGCCTCCCTGCCCTCCTCTAACCGCCTAGCAAGGGACAAGGTAAACCCTCTCTGGAGGAACGCATAATGATCTAGAGCCACTGTAATTCTATACAAAACGTACAGCATCTAATAAAAAAATTACTAAGCACACAGAGAAATAGGATATAAGATGGAAAGCCAAGAGAGAAACAATAGAAACAGATACAGATGATACAGATATCAGGGTAAAAGCAGACAAGGACTTTCAAATAACTGCGACTAATATGTTCCAAGAAAGAGAGGGAAAGATGGGGAAAGTAAGTGGAAAATAAATCAAAAGATGAAGAATTCCCCCCAGAGAATTAAAACCTACCCAAAAAAATGTTTAATAAAATGAAATTTCCAGAACTGAAAAATAAAACAATGGAAAGTGAAAACTCAGTAAATGGGGTTAACAGCATATGAGACACAGAGAAAGGGTAAGTGAACTGGAAGCAGGTCAATAGAAAATATCCCAACTGAAACAGAGAAAAAAGAAGGGAAAATAAAGTTTTTAAAAGTGTGAGAGGCACTAAGGAGGTGAACAGATCTAACATACATGGGACCACCCACACCTCAGCTCAGAGACCGCCGCCCCTCCCCAGGAGGGCTCTGGCCTAGGGTCTCCCTGCTGGCCCTACCGCCGGGTCCGCTGGACACTGGGCTGCATCTTCCCATTCCTGCCCTCTGCTCCCTGGGGCCTGCACCTGCCCCTCCTGAGGGCCACTCCCCAGGTCCAAACACCAACAGGACCTGAGGGCAAATTCCATTTTGGCTATCTCCTCCCTCAGTGACTGTGGGGAACTGGCCCACAGTTTCTCCACAAGTAAATGGGATGATACCGCCTACCTCACAGGGGTGTTGCTAAGATGCAGTCAGCAGGGTGTGTAAAGGGTACATCTTGCAGACAGGAAGTGCTCAGTACAGGCAAGCCTTTTGGCCCTTTCCCCTCCTGAAGAGTCACGACTGCATTCCCACCTTCATATTTTCAGCGCCCACTGCAGAGCCAGCACTCACTGAGTCTCTGCATTGCTGCTGCTCTCATGACCCCTTCCCCTCAGCCTCCCCAGAGGGGTCAAGAGACTTGTCCAAGGTCTTGCACAGCAAGTTTACAGTAGAGCTGGCAGGAGAATCCAGATGTGTGGCTGTATCGCCTGTGGGCGCTATCCCATCCCAGCCCCACTGACCTGAGTGCTCGGTCCAGAGTCAGGCCCGAGAAGTCAAAGAAGCTGAGGTACTCCCCGGCCACCAGCC